TTGCTACATATGACTTAGTACAACTAATAATACTGAGAAAAATATGCTTACATTAAATCTCTCTTCACTTCTATAAGAGACATTTTTCACTGTGCAAATGCAACTATATAACTAGTAGTAATAAGTACTTGTTTAACTATGTTCTATGTAAACTATATAACTAGTAGTAATAGGCACTTTATACTTGTTTATCTGTGGTAAAATGTATGTAACTAGTGGTGCATGGCACTGTGCCTTAAGGCAAATTGATTCAAGGAAAAAATAATCAACAAAAAATTACCAACGATTAATAATAATTGTTTTCAATATTATCAAATAGATTATTATAAATAGAATATTATATAAAAAGCAATTATAAGTTACAGGATTTATATCTCTCTCATTTTTTAGTATTACATTTACTTTGAATTATATGAGCTCAATGGGACAAAAAAACTAAAATAAAAAATAATTATATTGCATGGGTAATTTGAGAACTAACTCCCATGAATTGAAACATTTTGAAATAGCATTCCTATGTCCCAATGCGTTAATAACGGTCAATTAGATATTAGTAGTAGTTAAGTTAGATTCCCATTGAGCAGATACAAATTGCAATGTTTCGCCGCGTTGCTCCAGATCTACTCTAAATGGTCGTGTAGTACTATTTCACTAATAAGCATATACAAGTTATTCTTAACGACATATTGCAAGGTGTGTTTCGCCAGATTAAGAAACCGGATTGTGATAAAAAATGGTAAATACAGTAGCTATTTCTCCGATACTTTAATTAAATTATTATTGCACTAAATACTTTTGATATGCACAAACATGAACATATATGCAGGCACATATATAATACTTGAGTATATATTTATTTTAAAGCTATATAATATTGGATAGAAACATATTTTAATTTTGAAAAATCCATAATCCAAATACAAAAATATTTCATGGTTCAGTGGGAATAGCTTTGGGCTTGAAAACGCATAGTATCAGATTTAATGCCCATCTTGCACAGCCTAATATAAGGCAGCAGTGTATTCGGTTTTTACTTAAAAATATAGATCTAAAATATGTTTACAGAAAAAAACATCTATTTTACATTTATATACATTGCTGCATCAAACCACAAATATAAATTCGGTATTAAAGAAATTTTAATATAAAAATTAAGAGACTTAAAAAGAATATTTATTACAACATTCACAATAGCCAATAAAACTGTTAAATTGTTATTGCTGTTCAAAAATAAGAATATAATATAAAACATAATTCTTTTTGTTTTATGTGAACTTTATTTGTAAATGTATTGCAAAGACGTTGAACAAATGAATGTGGTACATATAGTACATGTGATCCACCACACACACATACCTAATATATATATATGGATGTTTTTAAATTTTCTTGCTCCCAGGGGCTCAAATGCTTCCGTATTAATAAAAAACAATTCTCTGAAGTTTTAGCTCCTAATATTAACTTTAAGATAGTCCGCACTCCGACCAAAGTTTCTTCGTTTTTCTTCCTAAGTAAATACTTATTTTATGAAATATATCAAATTTTTTATTTTAATTAAATTTTGTAATTTTTTTATTGATAATCAGAATAAGCAAATACAAACAATGTTATTCTCTAAATTTTGATTTACTTGTCGCTAAGCTATAAAACAAATGAAATTTTACCCATGTTATTTCCATAGAAACTTTGGTTGGAGTGCGGACTATCATGAAGTTAATATTAAGAGCTAAAACTTTCAGAGATTTGTTTTTTTTATCAATTTGGAAGCTATTGATATGATGTATTGAAAAGTATGTATATGTACGAAATATCTGGAATAGTAATAAAATGTGTTCAAAGTAAATGTAATAAAACAACACAAAATCTCTAAAAAACAATATACGAATTTCTCTGCTTGTGCTCTTCATCGACTTCGTCGTTTTTGTTTAATTTTTATTAAATACGTTTAGAATAGTTTTCAGTAGTTTGTTATACCAAAATATATTTATACAATTACAACAAACTACAATAAACATAATTTCCACATATTGTCAAATTTTTCTTTTACTAAATACCGTTGCACGTATGTTGAACATCTTGTTCAAATGGTATTTTCTCTCACAGTCCAGTATTGAATCCGAAACGTCTCGAATGCATTCGCTGTCACTGCAACAGCTTTCACGACAGAAATTTCATTACGTAATCTCAATTCTTGCAAACATCGTTACTACAATCGGCTTCAAATGTAAAATGCAATGGTAATATGATAACACGGTGAATTATCATAATCGATGTGCTACCGTATAACCAAACAGACATTTGTCTGTATGGATCCACATATCACATTATCACATTATCAACTAATTGTTGCATGCTTGATATGTTAAACTGTTCAACGACACCACTCATATGCATGAAATGATGCGTCGCTAAGCTGTACCTTTTATTAAAATGGAAAAAGTACAGAGGTAGTGCAATTGTGATTAGAATCTCAACTCTAAAATGTTTATCAAATTTCATTTAATTATTAAATCAAACATTAGATATGATCATTTCTTTATTAAATTATTAATTTAATTATTAATTATAACTCGTAGGGTGTGCAATTCTTTATGCTGAATACTATATCACGATACTTTGCATATTTTTGATTGTACGTACCAGTGGCGGCGCTAGACCACGCGTCGCCGTCGGCGAAATTCGTTGGCGAGGCTCCCTTTTTTTCCAGTTAAACTTGACTAGTTTATTATTCCAAAATTTAATAAATTTTATAATTGATCACTTGTTGTAGTTACATAAAATTTATGTTAGTTTAGACTATAAATTTTATCTCTATACAGAGTTTTTTTTTTGAAAAAAGGGATTTCTACAATTACTTACGAAGAAACGACGCAGCCGATCTTACAAAAAACTAATCAGCACGATTGCCAACTGAAAACTTTCAAACAGTTTTTGAATTTTCAAAATCGGTTCACAAATGTGGAAATGTCGGATTTTTTGAGAATCTTTAATTTTTTGTCTACAATATCAGAGCGAATCAACCGATTTAAAAAATTCAAAAAAGATCGAGCGATTTCGGAAATGCAAGAAATTTTAAATGGTCATCACTTTAGTAATGTTGTTTTTGAATCTTCAAAGAATTGATCATCCGATTTAAAAAAATATATCGCTTGTGTTGACGGCGTGAAACAATGGTTAGTTTCAAATTAACAGTATTTATAATATTTATTTCAAAATATTTAAAACAATTGTTATTTCTCATTGATCAATTTTATTGAGCATTGATTAATTTTATTCCTCGAATAATTAGAGACTGTTTGGATACATTAAGATAACTACTCGTTTGAATTCCTAACTGGAATAATGTTTTACATTATGCTCACATAAGAAACACACAAATATAAACAACCAGATAATTAGCCATTTCGCGCGAAGTTGTTTAGATTTAATAATCTATAGTGATGACAGATGATATTAGATAGTGTCCATAAGAGATAAGAGAGTAAAATGATAGTGCCCGTGAACCACTAATCATCTTCTTTACTAGCACATCAGTATGAAAAAAACTAAATAAAAACGAAAAACTATATATATAAATATATATATATATATATATATATAATTTCCGAACCATGAAGTTCGTTGAAATACTCGCCTGAAACGATTTGACCGATTTTTATAAAAGTTCATAATTACGTTTAAGAATCAGACAACATCTATTTTTCATACCCCTAGGTGGTACGGTTTGGCCACCATTAAGATATTTTTCAGTTTTTAGACTTAAATTTTCGCCCTCCTACCACAAAACCCTATTTTGTAATAGTCATTTTAGTAATCAAATGAATATAGATATTTTGAGTTCATGAAAAGCTTGAGTTTTTGAAATCTAATTCAAATCTAATTTGATTCGCTAAGCATGGCACAACATAATTCAAAAATAAAATAAAAATTTTATGTATTAAGGAATTAATGAAAAGCGCATTAATAAAAGATCAAAACATTGATTATCAAAATGTGCCAATTCAATTTAAATGATATTAGTTTCAGATTAGACTGGCACTTAAAATGACTATTATTATATCCCAGAAACATTTGTATATGGTTTGCGTTGCAGTGGGTTAACCATCAATTTAATTTGTGTTATCTGCCTTTTTCACTTAAACCACTATACTTTTATATTCAGAATCAGTTAGTTAATTTTTATGCTAAAAATTGAGGGCACATAAGAACTGCATACAGTTATACACACCTTCAAAAATGTAATAGCAACTACAAAATGCTTCTGTCATATCTCATTATTTGCATAATGTAGAATTTATGTCGAGAAATTAAGACAAGGAGTGGTTGCTGAGTTACAGCAGCTAAAAATGCTTTTAAAACATGCGACTTCTTTAAAAATCCCGTTACATAGATAATCTTCATTGTGACACTAATTGTTTGTACAAGTTTAACGGATCATTTTTGCGGCATTTTGCATTCAGCAAATAGCCGAAGGCGCGGCGTTCAAATTCTAAAAGTTTCGGCAAGTACATGTGAATTTTTTATAATAAATTATGTAGATCTCATGCACGCACTATAAGAATCTATTTTATAATGTGTATAAGTGTATAACTGATAATTATGTATTTTTATAAATTCGACTTCATACAATAATAATAGTTATCGAATAATAATAAGGCCTAATGTTTAAACTTGCATATTTATTCAAAAATCAAGTTACATTTATGATCAATAAATTTTTGTCATTTAATACAAATGTAATATATAAAATATATATATATATGTAGATATATAGACTAATAACTACGTACTACGTATAATGCAAATTGATTAACAAATTAATTTTTAACACAACTTATAGATGAAAGATAGGAACTCGATTAACAACTAATATATATTATTATTATTTTAGTGTGTATTTTATACTTATACACATAGAATAGTTATCTGTAAAAATATTTATGGAAAATTTTCCATTTCCAACAATTATAGATTATATAAAAATTGCTTCATATCTTTTATCACTCATAATGCTGACTAGAGTAGTTTCCTAATTTAATCCGCAACTTAAGTCCATTATTATTTGGAGATTCGACTGGTATAATTCGCGGATAATCAAGTTCCGGTTTAGGCTTAGGCCGCACAGCAGCCGGCGGCGGCGGTGGGGGGGGCATTCTAGGTCTTCTTGGAGCTCTCTGTTTCCTTACGCGCTTTTCCACTTCTTCCGGATTTTCTATTTCAGGCACTGCTGGCAGTATGTCTAGTTCAACATGATCACTTTCTTCGTCTGAACTACCATCAGTAGTAGGACCAACCGTCATAATATCTACATCCACATCCTCATGGATTTCTTTTTCAGAACCAATTACGGACTTATCTTCGTCCGCCATATCAAATTCCGACTCCCTCTCCTCATACTCGACATTCTCATCTAATTCTTTGAAATTGGGAGCAAATGCTGACCAAGTTGCCTGAGGAGTCTGTGCCCATACTGATATCATACCTGAACCGATGCTGGCGATTACAGACTTGCCAGGATGCCAAACAGCATCCAAAAATGATTCGACCATACAACCGTGGAGAATCTTCACCAGGCTCCCCGAACGTCTCTCCCATATGTAAATAGCATTTTGAACGTCTGATCCCGCACAAATGTACTCTCCATCGCCAGAAAAAGTGCTTTTCTTCCACATACTTCTGTTAATTGAATCTTGTAGTTTAATTTGTGGTTCTATAACATCAATGTGTGTATTCTTTAGTACTTCTTTTAGGCAGTATACCCGGATTACTCTATCTGAGCAATTAACTAAAAAATAGCCTCCTTTTCTCGCAAATTCTATACTTTTCACTGAAACCCAAGATGAAATTCCAGGCACAATTTTAAATTTAGTGACAAAATTCCAGTTAGCAGCATCAAGAACCATAATAGTGCCCCTGGAATTTCCCATGATTATGTAACGTCCTTTTCTATCAAAAACAGCAAAAAGCTTTTGATCGTTATCTTCTCCTAGGGGTAATATCATATGGCCGCCTTTATTATCAAGCACCAATGGCGGATGGTACATGGGACATGCAATAAAATGCATCTCGTTCTTTGGATCAAATTGTACGAATAATGTCGGACAAGGAAATCGATGCTTGATCAAACATGAAGCAGTCATAACGTCCCAAATGCAAACATTGTTGTCTGTTGAGCTAGAGAGCAGTTTCATGCCACTCCTAGACCAGCTCAAACAGCAAACGGGATGAACGTGAGCGCTAATTATCTTAGCAATAGTACGGGTGGCAAAGTCCCAAATCACAATACGTCCATCATTGCAGCCAACCGCCAATAAGGTTCCTCTTTTATTGAAACACAATGTAAGAGCATAAGATGTACTATCGAGCCTCCCATCCAGTTGTTCAGGATAATTTTGGCAGAACGCCTCTGAAAGTTCTAAGTTCATGATGGTATATTATCCTGAAATAATTTGAAAGTTGAAATGTTGCCATTGGTTGACATAAATTCTAAATAATTGTGCTATAGATACTTTTTGTTCTTTTAATGAACCTGTCAGACAACTGCTTAACCAGCTAAACGTGGCGCATTGAAACGTGCTTAGCTTTAAGGTAAATGCTACTTATCACTATTTATTTTATACTGGCAAAGTCTCAAAATAATCTAACTAATATAAATATGTTTTATTTTTTTACAAATTGCAATCTAAATAGCGAATAATGGTAAGGTGACTATACGACCCGGTTTGGCCGAGATTTTCACCGTGTGCCCGGGATTTTTCTAAAAGTAGTATTTGTCTCGGATTGCCGCGGGTTTTCAAAAAGTATAGGTTTAAATTAAATCTTTGCAATTAATTGATAATAAAAATTACAACTACCCATCAAATACGTTATGAATGAGAAAATTGACGAATAAAAATTTCCAAAGGCGGGATAAAACAACCACTCACATTAATAAATTCGAACTTTTATTTTCAATTTTACGAAAATTTGCAAAAATTATGAATAATAACTTTTTGGATATCTAGCACAAGTGCTAGTTTTTTCAAGTTAATCATGAAGAGATATGAACAGAATTTTATACAAAGCTCAAAAGCAAAAAAATATATGAATCGAAAAATATAAGATATAACATCACTGGTAAAAGAAGAGTTGGTATATATGTAACATATTATATTAAAATAGTAATATTTTTACTAGAAACCCGTAATTCTGATTTAAAAACAATATGATTCATTGAAAAAAAAAAACATTTTTATTGCATCCTTAGGTAGTATTTTTGTTAATTTAAATTCATATTCAAGTTATTTAGCATAACCCCCCCCCCCTCCGACACCTTAATAATGGTCAAATCGCATGATAAGTAAACTCGTCAATACATAAATTACTCATTTGTGAAAATTTACTTATTTTGACTTAATATGGTCTCAAAGATTTTTACGCATAACAAGTAAACTCGTCAATGCATAAATTATGGTGTACACAAAGTTCTAACACTTTTTTTATGACGAGTATACTGGTCAA